AAGGGTTCAGACTATGTCATCAATCAATAAATGATTGCAGGGTTTTCGTGGTAGGCTTATTGTAAATAAAGTACTCACCTACTAGTCGTTGAACCTTCATATATTCCTTTTAATTTTATTTAATATATGCTTGGCTGCATATTGTCCTACATAAACACATATGAATGGTGAAGTAGGAGTTCCATGCAATTTACCCCGTTTTCTGTCAACTCTATTAAATAACGGTATCAAACTTAATTGTGTATATTTTATAGGGAATTCCTGACATTAAACAAATTTTAATAGTTTTACTAGGTATGTTAAGATTTAAGCTACAATCAGATATACTAGTAAAATATTGTACCTTACCATTACTATCTTCTACTTTTATTTTAAAAAATTTCGACACTAATTTATCAGTACCTCTTAAAAATATAATTCCCTCTTTTATTTCATAAGGACTTGGCAAGGACAATAGATAATTTAACCTTTGCTCAATTAACGCTTTATTTTGATCATAGTTTGTAAGAAAATAAGGATTTAATCTAAAATTCTTCAAATTAGATTTAAGGAGATTAATTAATTCTTTACCTTCATCTAATGTATGGTACCCATAATAAGTAATTTTAACTATTGTAGATCAAACTTCAAAATCTAAAGATTTTTTAGTCAACATACCATTAGAAAAAGTAGGTATTATTCTGTTCATTAAAATATTAATATTATTTATTTCTAATATAACAGAACCTGCTGATCTTCTATCCGATGTATATAAATTACCATGCTTTAAGTAATTTAAAATACTTTTAAATAATTCTAATTCTTTTATATGATTTTCATATTTTATTTTTGGTTTTAGTTTATTTGAACTAAAAGTCGCATCTCCTTCTGTGAATCCTATTAATCAGTACTTACCTATAATCATATTTTCTCTAGCTTTAGAATTTTGATTTATGAGTATCATATCACGATAGTATTGTAAGATATCTATTTTACCTTTAAAAGTTAAATGCTTTTTATCTATTAATAAATGAACTGCTTTTTTAAAATTCAAAAATTGAAAAAATTTAGAACTCTTTAACTCTACATTATTAAATATAGGTACTATTACATTTACTAGTGATTTTTGATCATTTACAAAATAATTACATTTATTTCCTGATTTAGAAATACTTCCACAATTTAATCTGTTTCTAATATGTTGTAAAACAGATAAATCATTTATATGCAGAGTTATTTGGTAAGTTAAATTTAAACTATTATATCTGTTATCTTGTAAACCTTTTAAACTAATATTAAAATTTCCTTCCGCGTCGGTAAATCCCACTAATCAATCAATAAAGTTCTTATCTAAATGAATTAATTTTTTATTTGATTCTAAAGTAAGAACTGAATTGTTTTTTACACTAAATTGATTACCTAACGACATAAAAGAATTGGTAGGGACTGCTGTAATTAATCCGTGGACAAATTTGTTATCATAAGAGCTCTTTATCTCTTATATCCATTCTTTATCAGAATGGTTCAGACTATGTCTTCATTTATAAAGTATTATTTTTTATAAAGTATTATTTTTTATAAAGTATTATTTTTTATAAATGTGGGGTGTTCGTGGTAGAATTATTGTAAATAAAGTACTCATCTACTAGTCGTTGAGGCTTCATGTATCCCTTAAAATAAAGATTATTGCTTTTGTAACTTTTTTTTAAAAATTTATTAAATACATGCTTCGCCGCACATTGTCCATATTATCTTATTGGCAGCGCCTTATAATAATGATGGAGTTTCATGCTATTTACCCCATTTTCTATTTTAATTAATAAATTAATGAAAATTTATCTATATCTATTCATATTTCTTTTTATTTTTAAAATTTCTTTTAATGTAGCACTATGTTCATCGTACTTGTTAATTTCTCCTACGATATTAACTACTTTTTTGAAATCATAGAAATCTAGTAATTTATTTCCTCTTAAAGAGTATTTTTCAAAAAAAGGTATTATTTTATTAGTAATATCATATAATTTATAGACTACATAACTAGATTGACGAGGTCTAGTTTTCACAGTTTCTACTAAACCACAATTTAAATAAATTACCAAATTTTTTAGTAAATCTATATCACGTATATGTTGTGCTATATAAAAATACGGACTTACTCTATAACCTGAATGGGTCTTGGATGTTTTTACATAAAAACAACCTTCACCGTCAACAAACCCCGCTACTCAAAATGGATTAAAATCTTTGGTAGATAATATTAGGTTTCTTGCCGCAGGTATAATATCGGGAAACATATCTAATAATGACTTTGATAAACCTTTACTTATAGAGGCTTTGTAAGATAATATTTTGTTTAAACCTTTTTCAGTTTTATGTTGACCATTGTAAAGTATATCTACTACTGAAGAAAACATACGGAAATCTTCTCTCTTTTGTGTTAATAGATTATATTTGTTAAAATGAGGTATTATTACATCTTTTAGTGCTTTAATGGATTGAACCGAATATATTACGCTAGGATTACCATTTTTAACTCTTTTTATGATAGTACCTACTGTGAAAAAAGCATTTATTTGTTTAAGTAAATCAAAATCTTTTTCATGTAGTTCTATAGCAAAAATTGGTGCTATACGTAAAGATTTAAACCTTTTTTCATCTTTAGCTATTCTAACAGAAAAGCTAGATTCAGCATCACAAAATCCTGTTATTCAATTAGGATTTAAATTACTAGTAGAATTTATGGAGTTAGAGCTCTTATCTTGAGATTTAACCGTTGAATAGTTAGATATTTTAATTTTCAAATATATGTTTTTTAAAATAGGGGCTAGAATTAACCCTGTTCCAAAGTAAAAACATGATCCAAAAGCTCCATCTGAAATAGTGAATGATGATACTGAATATTCAACACCTTGTAGTGCTGTAAATATAGTTGCTAATATGATAGTATATAATAGACCATATAAAGCTTTACTTCTTTTTCCGTTAATTAAAAAATGATGTGCATATGTAACAGTAAACCCTGAAGCCAATAAAAGCACTGTATTTATTAATGGTAGTTCAAAAGGATCAATTGCTTCTATTCCCATAGGAGGTCACATAGCACCTAACTCTACTGCAGGTGATAGAGCACTATGGAAGAATGTTCAGAATATAGCTAAGAAAAATAAAGCTTCAGATACTATAAATAAACCAACACCCAGATTTAACCCTCTTTGGACAGCAAGAGTGTGATTACCTAAATATGTCAATAATAAATATTTTCTATATTTACTGGACTATATCTTAATCAATAGGTTAAACATACTACTATTAACGTATTAATTTTTAACAAATAGTCTCTGAGGATCCTACTAGGATATTTATCCATCCGTTGGTTTCCTGCTGATTGTCTTATTATAATAAGAGTTTCCAGCATTTAGTTAAATTTTAAGAGAGCACATAAATGTAACAATACTGTTATTATAATCTTTTTTATAATTTTATAATTTACCTATCAAAGATCTAATTTTTAGTCTACCTTTATCAGTAAGATGTTCCTTAGATATAATCATATTATAGACAATTTCTCATTTTTTAAAATCATTAAACTTGTTACCCAATAAGGGATATTTATTAAAATAATCTATAAGAAATTTAACACTATTTATAGATGATACACCTATAGATAATATTTCTGAGCCTGTATTATTAGTATAACTTTTAAGATTACAAGATAAAAATAAAGCTAAACTTTCCATAAAAGGTTTCATGGAAAAAGACGTAGGCTTGTCATATAAACGTTGATCCAATCTAAATTTAAGACTAATGTTTTCACTAACAGATCTTTTACGAGTATCTGATTTAGCTTTGCTTTCGACATATTTAATCCCAAAATGTCCATCAGCTTCAGTAAAGCCTGTAAACCAACTATTGTTTGTAAAATTGGAATTATCTATTAAACTTTCTGATAAACCGCCTCCGGGGAAATAATATTTAGCATTAATAAATTTAATTAGATCATTAAATCTTTTATTTTTAGGTGTTCTAAGTTTACCATGTATTAAATTAATAAAAAGTATAATACCATTTTTGTCCCCAATAATATAACGAAGAACATTTTTACCTGAAGTTTGGAAACGTCCCACATTACCCAATTCTGATTGGATATACGCGTACATACCTAAATTGTTGATATGTGAAGTAAAAACTATCCTAGGATTAAGTACTCGATTTAAAGTTGTATTACCTAAAGCAGGAATAGAGATATGACCGTCTCCTTCTAAGAGACCTGCTAAATAATAACCCAAATTATTATTTGTAAGTAGTCTAGTATCATTATTAGCTTTATAAATACTTAGAGCTTTTTCTAGATCTTCGATAGGGATAGCTTTAGCTATATTCAAATTATAAATAGACAGTATAGTACCTTTTAATCACGTTTTACCCTCTGCTATTACATCTCTTCATCAGAATGACATAGCTAATATTAATGATGTTAAACTCATCATTAAATTGTATTCTGCATAAGCAAACCCATGGAATGATAAAACTGCAGATGTAGTAAGTGTTAGTAAGCTAATGGATGTATATAAAGGTCATGGAGAAGGAGATACTAAATGAAAAGGATGTGCTTGAAAATTACTTCTGTTTAAATTTAACATGATATTTAAGAATAAGTTCATAATACGCCTTTTTTTCTTTTTTTTTCTAGTAATTTCATAGAAATTACGTCGAAAAAAAAAAACAAAATCACAACCAAAACATTCAGCATAGCTCTTATACTCCTTACTTATTTCTTTTTAATATATCTATCTCTATACCTAACACCTTTAAATTTTTGTTTAAAAAAGTTTATTTTTTTTAGTTTCTTTTTTTATATGGAAAAAAAATAAACAAAGAGGAAAAGAAACAAACATAAACAAAGAGGAAAAGAAACAAACATAAACAAACAGGAAAAGAAACAAACATAAACAAAAAGGAAAAAAAGCAAACATAAACAAAAAGGAAAAACATAAAATCATATTTTGAATTTTTACCTTTTAACAATAAAAAATACAAATATCACTATTACTACTAAAATATAATAACACTGTAACAATAGAAAAATAAATATTAAAATATATAGTCAGATAATCTTTGTTCAAGTAATGATTATAAATATTAATCGCCGTGTTATACCATTTATACATAAGTTTAGCTAAATTAACCATTAAAAATAAAGTAAAGAATAGTCTTAAATCTATATAAAACCACATATCTAAAATAGGTAATATATTTAAATGTATAATTAATACTAAAATAGTTGAAACTATAAAGGATAATATACGTACTACCGGTATAAGATTGAACCCAATAAACCCTAAAGGAAAGTTTAAATTATTATCTACATCTGAATATTTTATACGTTTCTTACTTCTAGATTGAGAATTGTTGGATGATTGACTCTTATCCGAGCTGTAAAAAGAAGAATAAGACTCTGTATCTGAACGATCTTCAAGATTGAATTGCTCAGAGGGATTTATCCCTTTTTCTATTAAGTTTTTTTCCATTTTATCTTTTAGAAGTTTAAATTTATTAGATTGCTTCAAATACTCAGATAATAATGTAAGATCTTTCTCACTTTTAACCGTTTCTTTATCCAGTTTGATTTTTAGGTTATTATAAAGTTTCGCATAGGCTAAAAAGCTATCTTTGGATGTCTTTCAATCTTGGATATAAATAGCTAATTTATCCATATCAAATCCTACAGGAGAATCTTCCTTACTCCAGCTACGTTTAGAAGACTCTCCTTTTTTTTCTTGTAATGAGAGTGCAATAGCTTTCCTAGTATCTTCCTCATACTCTGAATCGGTCTCAGACTTAGGTGGTGATTCAGGTTTTTCTTCTTCAGAAAGATCTATTGCTTTACCTTTTCCTTTCCCCGTGTAAAACCCAGATGTTTTTAATTCACCATTCACGATGAGAGATAACATAGGTTCTGAAATATATTTTGTTAATCCCAAACCTGGTCATGTAAAAAAAATATCTCGGTAAAATGAAATTAGCAATAAAATAACGCTAGTTATTAAAAAGATAACGCTAGTTATTAAAAACATAACGCTAGTTAAAAACATAACGCTAGTTATTAAAAAGATAACGCTAGTTATTAAAAAGATATCTCTAGTTATTAAAAAGATAACGCTAGTTATTAAAAACATAACGCTAGTTATTAAAAAGATATCTCGGTAAAATGAAGTTAGCAATAAGATAACGCTAGTTATTAAAAACATAACGCTAGTTATTAAAAAGATAAATAGGTGGAAAAAATTTCTAGTAGCTGTAGTATGGAATAACCCACCGAATATTCCTATACCTTTTGCTAAAAATAAAATAGATAAATTATCATAAGCTATAAAAGCTGATATTAGTAAGATTGTAATCGTTGCTCTAGAGTACAAGATAGATTTGTCTCGTCTTGATGTAATAGCATTAGATAAAAGTAATAATATTAATGAATTTAGTAACATATCAGAATAGAGAGATTCGAACTCCCCTTTTACATTCTACAGGAAGTAACTATTTTCCTTACATTATTCTGAGAAAAATTGTATTGAGGGAAGCCTTTAAAATGAATCGAACATTTATCAAAATATTAACAGTATTCCGCTCTACCATTGAGCTATAAAGGCGATTAAATAATGTTATTAGAGGTATCACTACACAAAATATTTATACAAATCCCTTGCGCCCTTATGAGAATAATTAAAAATCATACGCTTTACCATTAAGCTAAGATCTCTATAAATATATTTACTTACCATCAATAAGTAATAAGAAATAAGTGATTCGAACACTTAAC